AACCTTACTCACAAATCTCTTCACACTACCTTCAGTAGTCTTCACATATTAATAACATGGGAGCTATACAAGTCTCACTGAATTACGCACTCCCAATATAACTGTACTACAGCACATACAAAGTCTTGAAGGCACACAAGAAGTCTTCACTGGCTGACTTCTCAGTTATCATGCACTATCACATAAAATCTTCTCACCACGCTTTCGGGTCTTTTTTCTGTGACTGCTGCTATATTTCAACTGACTTGCTTGGGCATTCCAGTTCTCTTATAAACCCTCAGTCGGACAGCGGAAAACCCACATCGCTTCACTGTTGCCTAAATGCCGTGTTTACAGGCGTTGCTAGTGAATGCTGCCGAGAGTTGTTTATTGCTGCATAGCAACCGTGGTGTCCCCTGTTACGTCACTGTGGGAAGGGGGTGTTTACTGAGCATTGCATAATGATGGTAGGAGTGGGAGTATGTGACGTCACTCGCGAGACTGCAGAGTTCACGTGACCCCTACTTCCTGTTGCGCCATCCACGTCACAATATTGTTTTCTCAGACCGTTCAACACTTTCCTTCTTTTATAAGAATTATGTATTCCTTCGGTAATTCATTTTTTCTGTGTTACTCCTGTAAACAATTTTTATTGGAAGATTATATTATAATGATAAAAAATTGAGTCCATGAAGGCATTAAAACAAGTATTTTCATGTAAATTTAAAAGACATTCCTGCCACAATTGTTTTTGTGATAGATAATTAAACTCATCAATACCTTCTTTGGTAAACTTCCTTTTCCTACTCTTTACAGGTCCTCTTTTTGATCTGTTTACATTAATATTTATAATCTGTGCCGAATGATCTAAATAACCCAAATGTAATACTTTTGATGGACATTCATAAGCTTGCTTGTTTATTACAACAGTGTCAATCAATGTAAATGATTTATTTGTAATCCTAGTTGGAGATATTATTTTATTTACCAAATTGTATAACAGCAGAACATTTTTTTAATTTTTGAGGTTTTACATTATCTTCCATAATATTTATGTTCTAGTCCCCACATAAAATTACTCTTCCTTTTAATTGCACTTTACAAATTACCATTTCCAATTTTTTAGAAATAAATGGTCAGCATCGGGTGCTCTATAAATGCAAGAAATATGTTATAGTTCAATAATTCAACTATGGACATTTCAAAGTAAGTTTAAGAGGAGGAGGTAGATGTATTTAACATTACAGATAATGTCACAAATGTGAGTGGACAAGCTAGAAGAGCATCCTGGGAGCATTTCACGAACAGTGAAAATCTTGACTGTTTCTTATAAATCATAATGCTGTCACTCAAAATGCCTGCTGATCAAGGTAGCTAAGACTTGGCAAAGTAGCGAATGGAGAGGAATACATATCTGATATATTTAATATGCAGAATGACTGACAAAGGAGATGATGCTGTACCACAGATAGATACTTTCTACTACCCTTCTTGTCACAGAAGAGCAGCAGCAGTTCCAATATATAAATACACACATGTCAGTTCATATAAGAACTACTCGACTCATGCTACATCCTGAGTTACATAGCTCTCTATGCTTGTGAAACATGCAGCCCAAGTTAGAGAACATTGATGAATACAATACGTGCTAAGCTTGCCTTGCTATGCATACTGAAAGCACAGCCTACTCTTCTTGTTGTGATAGAATACAGGTTCTTCATGAGTTCCAACTGCACTAGAGAGAGAGAGATCTGATCACAGTGACTCTGGATAACTCAGAACCAAATGTAATTTACAATATTACATGGCACCAACAGCCATCATGAACAGACAATGAAACAGGAATTTAGAAGTGTCTTCCACAGAGTCTTACAGCATAAGAGAATAATTTTAGACACCAGGCCAAAGATGTACAAGTTGAATGTATAAGGGGTGGGCCTTCTTGGCCCTTGCACCACGACCACAGTGATCTATTGTGCCTAAGATGTACAAGTTGCTGAAGAACAAAGTGGCTAGGATTGATAAGCTGAAAAGTTATGAATCACCAAGTAGTGATCAAATTCCAGCAGAACTTATTTGAGCAGGAGGTGAAGTAGTACATTCCAAGATTCATAAGCTAATTAATTAAATTTGGAATAAGGAAAAAGTGCCTGATCAGTGGACAGAATCTATTATTTTACCAGTTCACAAGAAGGGTGATAATGCTGACTCTAGTAATTATCGGGGGATATCACTGCTATCAACTTCATACAAAATTTTATCTAATATTCTTCTCTGAAGCTTAAGTCCATACATAGATGAAATTATTGGGGACCATCAGTGTGGGTTTCAAGATAACAGATCAACTACTGATGACATGTTTTGCATTCATCAGATACTGGAGAAAAAATGGAGTACAATTAGACAGTACATCAGCTATTCCTAGACTTCAAGAAAGCTTATGACTCAGTTAGGAGGGTAGTATTGTACAATATTCTGATACAGTTTGGGGTACCCATGAAACTAGTTATGCTGATTAAAATGTTTAGATGAAACATATGTGTAGTAATGTCCATATAGTTAAATATTTGTCTAATAATTTTCCTATCCAAAATTGTCTAAAACAAGTAGATGTTTATTGTCACTGATTTTCAGCTTTGCTTTATAATATGCCATTAGGAAGGTCCAGGAGAACAAGGTGGGACTGAAATTAAATGGGACACATCAGCTGGTGGTCTGTGCCAATGATGTGAATCTCTACATGATATTATGGAGACCATAAAGAAAAGCGCAGAAACTTTGACACTAATAAAGAGGTTGGCCTAGAAGTAAATGCAGAGAAAATAAAGTATATGTTCCTGTCTCATCACCAAAATGCAGGGCAAAATCAAGCTATAAAGATAGGAAAATTGATATTTTGGAAATGTGGCACAGTTCAGATATTTGGGAATGACTATAAGAAATCAAAACATGATTGAGGGGGAAATTAAGAGGAGATTGAATTCGGGTAATGCTTGCTACAATTCAATCCAGAACCTTTTGTCTTTTCATCTGCTGTCTTAAAATGTAAAAATTAGAATGTGTAATGTATAATTTTGCCTATGGTTCTGTATGTGTGTGAAACTTGGTCTCTGACATTAAGGGAGGAACATAGACTGAGGGGGTTGAGGAGAATATTTGGACCAAAGGGAGATGAAGTGAAGGGAGGTTGGAGAAAACTGCATAATGAGGAGCTTCATAACTTGTACACTTCTCCAAGTATAAGTAGAATGATCAAGTCAAGGAGGATGAGGTGGGTAGGTCATGTAGCACGAATGGGGGCGACGAGGAATGCATATAGGATATTGGTGGGAAAGCCAGAAGGAAAGAGACCACAGGGAAGACGAAGGCGTAGGTGGGTGGACAATATTAGAACGGATCTTAGAGAGGTAGGATTGGATGGTATGGATTGGATAGATCTGGCTCAGGATAGGGACCAGTAGAGGGCTCTTGTGAACATGGTAATGAACCTTCCATAAAATGCTTGGAAATTCTTGAGTAGCTGCAGAATTGGTGGCTCCTCCAGAAGGGCTCAGCTCCATGAGTAAGTAAGTAATTACATCTTACCTGGACCTTATTCTGCACCATCACCTTCAAAGTAGTCCCCTTGGGAGCGCATACACCGATCCCAGCATTTCTGCCACTTTTCAAATGCATCCTGGAGNATAATAATTTGTTGGTTTATGTTTGTATAATCCCTCATTCTGTGAAAACCTTAATTTTTGTGTAAGGAAACCAATTATTCCAATGACTCATTAACACAATATTTCAATGTATGAAGACTGATGTCTTCTGGGACATGACACCATATCATTTGATACTTAGGTACCAACATTTTGAAGAAATATGTAGCCCCCATCTCCTTCTAATGAACTATATGGTGTCACACTCTTGGAAACAATATGCCCCATATGAACCTGAAATCTCATATGCCTAAGAAGTCAGCAGATCAGTGTGCTTACACAGCCAATCCACAGACTATTCTAGAAATTCACAGTGACATGCTTGAAGTCTGAAAGCTGAAAAAAAAAGATAAAAGACCAAGAAGTACTGAAAACTGTTTCCTACATTTTTAGCATGTTAACATAGTCACTGAAACAAAAAACTTAAGATAAAACATTCTCTGCTTTGTGTTAAATATGAACGTTCTGTTATGCAAATACTTTTCATATGGTATGTCTTTTTGTAGATTTGATTGTTTCATATGTAAAGAATGCCTGATGGACATACCACATGATCTTTATACTGCTGATCCTGTTTAACAAATACATGTCTTATTTCACTGTAATTCTGAAATTTGATTAAGTTATCTCTCTCACTGCTACAGCTACAGCTGTTTGTTTTGTGGCCATTTCAATTTAAACTCCATTTAACCTTCATGAAGACATTTCTTTGCTATGCAGTGCTTTCTTCTGATTTCCTCATTTACTCTAAGTCAGAAGCAAGGACAATTTCTCGAACTTGTGTAATGCAGTATTGCACAGACAAATAAGAAAGATAAAACTATTCTCCTTTCAAATAAAGTCAGTTAAGTGAAACGCAGATTACCTAGAAAGAAACAACATGACTCTGACAAGCTTGTTAGGAGCATGGATGGCCCGACTTGGGCAACAACACGACCTATATGTTCCACATGGCTTTCATTTGGACGGCGAGGTTCTCTCTGATGTGTCTGCACAAGAATGAAGATATTGTCGACTCCCACGGCAAGTACCAAGAACGGAATTACCTGAAATGATTTTATTAACTTCAGTATCAGATATTTGGGAAACTACTACATTGGTTTAAAATTACTGGAGAAGAAAAGAAAACAACAGGAAAACATACCAACATACAAAGATGGCTGCTCATTGAAGAAATAAGGGTCAAACTGAAGTTTGGGAATGCTTTCCCTGGAACACTATGAATGCACAACAAATTCAGAACATATATCAAACATTCCTACGGCTCAACACTTACTTCAATGATGATTAAGGTTGCTGGAACACCAATAAAGCCAAAGAAGCCCACTGAGCAACCTACAGAAGCAAGTACAATTAACACTCCTCCTAAACCAAGTGTCACTTTGCTGTCAATCTGAAACAGAAAAACAGCTAACCTGAGTACTACAAGCTCTTCCATCTTACAGTTTTAAGTCACAGTGCAACATACGAAAAATATTGTATTTGTCCATTTATAACATACATTTTTTTGCCCATCAACCAGTAAATGTTAAGAAGGGAAACATTTTAGTATTTCCTTTGAGCACTGTATATGAATACCCAACCTATCCGATGGGCATTGGGGAGGAGGGGGCTCTTTTGCTAGGGGTAAAGTGGCCAGGGTGTGAATCTGACCACTCACCTCCAGCAAGTGCAGAGGTCAAGAAAATGTGGATCTATACATCCACTCACCTAGACACCTTCATGGCATAGTGCTTAATTAGTTGAGCAAAGGAACAGGTTTACCTTTAGTGTACTTAAAAAAACCTGCATCCCTTCCCCTCAAAAATATCCCCCCAAAATGTTTTGCCAGTTCTACAAGTTTCTTACCAGTAGGCGACTGCAGGTGCGAATCTGTCCAAGGGCAATGGCAATGTAGGCAAACATGATGATATAGCTCACTAGAATGGTGCTGACATCTGAATGCGACTCACGATCCAGCTCATCCTCAATTGAGCGCTCAGATGTAAAGGCAACTTCTATATTTGGATGTGGCTGTGCAGTGTAGTTCTTCATGAATTCAATAAACCTTGTGCATACATAAGAAAGTAAACTGTATGATCTGGTTCATCAGTGCATGTATATAGGGATTCTACATTTAGCATTTTTTTTCCTGGCGATAAAACTTCAAATGAGAAATGTAACTAGATT